TATGAGTACAGATTAATAATTGCTTATAATGAAAGGGATTATAAAAATTGTCAAATAATATAATATTAATTAGAATTGACTCTAAAATTGTTTACCTGTAAAAAACATAAATAAATAATGTCTAGACAAATCTGCTCATAAATCATGATCGCAGATTAATTTCTGTGTAAAAACAAAGTTGTTTACTTGTTTACCATGTTTAACATCACTATAAATACCTAGTCAATTTCATTGAGTATCAAAAATATATGAATACATAAATAAAATAACAGAACAAAATGCTGAGAGTAGTATTGATAGCATTTTTAATTAAACTCATTTCGGGAACGGTATTCCATGAGTGTGGAGGAGGTATGTATGAAATACGGGTACAATTAATACTAAAATATTAATATTATGTATATTATTATTATAGGATATCCCACAGCGACCAGTGTTGACATCACTGGTTGTACTAATGACCCGTGCGTTTTGAAACAAGGCTCAAGCGTTACGCTTAAGATGGACTTCTTAGCAAGTGAGTTTTATATAATATTTTATTTACTTACATGGATGATCAATTTAATATATACTAATATATTATAATAATTTTGTGTTTGGTGGGCATTGTTGAAATAATTGTTCTAAATTAATAAATCTAACCTAGATCAACACACGTACTCGCCTATATTTACGCTGCAAACGTATACGGGCAGTGCATGGGTGGACATATCGGCCAAACAAAGTGGTTTCGACCGGAATGTCTGCCACCACACCACCTGTCCCATGAATGCGGGCGATAAGCGAACATTTACCCAAACCCTGGTCATCGACTCCCTCTACACGCCGGGCACTATCTGGCTATCGGCTATGTTATCGGATAGAGCAGGGTATATTATGTGCGCGTATGTTCCGGTTGAAGTTAGCGCTTGAGTGGTAGCACACACTACATTTGAAATGTTTCTAGGTGCAAAATATTTGTTCATAAGAGATTATTAAGATATTGTTAAAATTGTATTAACTTGTTTTTAAAACATTTGTAAATACAGTATTATTTTTGAATATATTCATAAAAAAATGTAAAAATAAATTGACGATTAGAGACCATATAATTTTGTAAATTTTATTTAAATAAAATACAAAAATATTCATAAATTTTATGATATAGTTTATCTTTCATAGTTTTAAATCCCAAAATATATCTATATGTGTATTAATAATTGCAGTGTAATTTATATTAATTAATTAAAATTAAAATTTATTTTTAATAAAATATTAAACGAACCCAGTATATATGCGACAGGTACGGTACAAACAAATAAATTTTATTATTTTATTTATGATTTAGTTATATTTATTATGTAATGGGCACAAATAATTTTAAACTCAAAATAATTATTACGATTTTCAATAAAATATTAATCTTGACATATACTGTATATATTTTATATAGCGATCAAATAAATGTTCGTTTGTTATCAATTTAAATATAATGATTTAATATTTTATCACGTGTTTGTAATTAGATTTTTATTTAATTTTACAAACTTTATAAGAAAACCGTATTATCATTTAAACTCAAAATATAATATATATAAAAGTTATTATACTGTATTTCAATATAGCATTATTTAGCATTTTATAAATAATTATTTCCAAAATCGTGTTCTTTCCAAATTAGATATTATTTTATATTTGTCACTAGTATTTAGCATTAAAATTAGTTTATATTACAGTCTTTATTACTCACAAGCTTTTACATTAAACTTAAACCAAAAATTTACTAATTATTATAAAGTTTATGTTCATTGTTTAAATATTATGCGCCAAACAGTACTACAACTCTCAAGGTTTGCTTTTTAATATGAACAATCAAATAGTTTACATATACATTATAATTGACAATATTTACGACAAATCATTGTGTGGTTACCTCAGTGCTAGTAACAACTTGTAAGAACATAAACCGTTATCGCAGATTCATTTATGGGCAAGAACAAAGTTGTTTACTTGTTTACCATGTTAACTATTGTATAAATAACGTGATCATACCGCAAATTAACATCACAATAACTACACAGACAATTGCTTGAGTATCTAAAATATATGAATACATAAATAAAATAACAGGGAACAAAATGCTGAGAGTAGTATTGATAGCATTTTTAATTAAACTCATATCGGGAACGGTATTCTTTGAATGTGGCGGAGGTTTGTATGAAATACGGGTACAATTAATACATAAAAATTAATATTCTGTATATTATTCAATAAAATAATAGGATATCCCACAGCGATCAGTGTTGACCTCGCTGGTTGTGTTAATGACCCGTGCGTTTTGAAACAGGGCACAAGCGTTACGCTTAAGATGGACTTCGTAGCAAGTGAGTTTTATATAATATTTTATTTATTTACAGGGATGATCAATTTAATATATAATAATATATCATACAATGGTAGTGATCCCGTGCTTTAAGGTTTGCTAATAATTGCCAACAAGGTTATTTAAGACATTTATACAAAAAGTAAATATATACAAATTCACAAATATTACAAAATAAATTGATCATGCTTAATAAATTGATAATACCGAGATATAATCCATACATATTCTGTTTGAGTGTAGTCCCTTTCCCCATTGCCCCAATCCCAATAACTACCCTACCCCCTATCCCTATGGTTACTCCCATATCCCTACTGTATCTCAACCCGTGCCTATCCCTCCCTACCTTTCCCTATGCTAACCCGATTGCACTGATATTTCGCAACGCTTTCGCTGAATGCCTGCCAAAGAGTCCTTTGGTTGAACTAAAAAAACCTATTGATTGGCACTTATAGTCTGGACGGAACAGTACTACTGTTTATGATGTGTTTGTTTTTCTCAACTCTGGCTACAGTGCTATACCGAGCATACAGTAGGTCTCTATTGAGGCATAAATGAAATAATTTCTACGAATTAATACGTTTACCAAAATTGTTATTTTAATCGCCGGCGGGAATGGGAACAATCTAGTATTATACTAATCGCGTGTCATTGGTCACATTGAAATAATTGTTGTAAATTTATCAATTTAACAAGATCAACCCAGCTACGCCCCCCTAGTTACATTGCAAGCGTATACGGGCAGTGCATGGGTGGACATATCGGCCAAACAAAGTGGTTTCGACCGGAATGTCTGCCACCACACAGTCTGTCCCATGAATGCGGGCGATAAGCGAACCTTTACACAGACCCTGGTCATCGACTCCCTCTACACGACGGGCACTATCTGGTTGGCGCCTATGCTATCGGATAGAGCAGGGTATATTATGTGCGCGTATATTCCGGTTGAAGTTAGCGCCTGATTGTGTAGCACACACTACATTTGAAATGTTTCTAGGTGCAAAATATTTTTTCATAAGAGATTATTAAGATATTGTTAAAATGGTATTAACTTGTTTTTAAAACATTTGTAAATACAGTATTATTTTTGCATATTTTTGCATTTCGTGGTGCACAATTATTTCATAAAAGGGATTGTTAAAATATGTTTTAAACATTATTTTTGCATACATTTATAAAAACACAAAATAAATGGACTATTTTTTTGAGGAACATACAATTTTGTAAACTTTATTCATAAAATATATAAATTATTCATCAATTTTAGTATAATAGTACTAAGGCCCGCTCAGTATATAAATCCCGTTTATAAAAATGTTAATATTTAGAAAAGTATTTATTGAAACTAAACACAAATTTATACGCAAGTCAATTACAGTAAAGTAAGACCTGTATGAGGGATGGGGTACGCGATTGGGAGTCAGATATACGTCGGAAAGGGAGAAAACCGACGGATTATAGCAAAGAGAATAAAGAGGGTATCTGTAAGCCGGCGACCACTGACAACGAGCTGATTGCCGAACTGGTCCACTGTAGGAAAGTTTATAGTACATCCCCGGATAAACTTGCTAAATATGATGCCAAGGTCAGTTTGTTACTATATGTTTGATTAATAATTTAATTATTACTTACTCGCTATTAACACAATTTTGTAGTGAAGTCAGCTGTAAGTCCCGTATAATATAATATAACATAATATAATATATAATATATAATATATAATATATAATATATAATATATAATATATAATATATAATATAATATAATATAATATAATATATAATATAATATATATCAATATAATATATATCAATATAATATATATATATATAGTGAACAGTGTATTTCAAATAAGCCCGCTTATACTCAACACAAAACTACACCAAATAATAGACACATTAATAGTTTGCATAATAATTATAGAGATTAATTAGTAAAAACACTCGTATAGTGTACTTAAAAACACACACATATTATACACTATACTGTCATATCGTAAGTTTGATTATTATAATAGAGATTATATTGTGATTAATAAAACAATTGATTATCGAAATGATTATAACATAGAGATTACAAGTCATACACTATCAGTGCGTTCATTATAAGCGGGTTTATGTGATATATCGGATAACATAATGTCATATAAAACACGTGTTTTTCACGCGAAATACTCATCCAATTCTCGCTAATCACATGAGAACTACATTTCAAATAAGTTTTGTTCAAATGTATGGAGTATTTGGTGCGAAAAACTAATGACTTGTCGGTTATACCGGTAATATCAATACAAATCATATCAAAACGATTTGAATAATTGGCAAAAAAAAGTTATATAATATAAATGTATACTAAATATAAATAAAGCCAGTGATGGCCAGAGGGGGACAGGTATTGTGCGGGGGTCTTATACCCCCTATTAGTAAAGCTCATGAATAATATAATAAAAATATCAGTAATACTGCGAAAAAACCCAATAATTGGGGGCAAAAAATACAATATTACCATAAAAAACACAAACACAATAAAAGCTACAGTTCCCTAATCGCCTGTCCCCACACACACAATCAAAAACGGGCCAACTTTTAGGGTCTGGCCATCACTGAAATCGCTAACACAGTCTGTGAACACAGTATTTGTGAGCATATATTGAATGCGAGAAAAAAAATTATTCAACAAAAAAGACAATCCGTTTCCAAAGCATAGTATAATTCAGTCCATAACACCCTCAACATCCCGTTCCCCTTAACAGAAAAACATCCGGTTTTTGATAGCCTCGTCCACTTTGATCAGTACATTCAACTGCTGGGCCAACTGGATCTCACGGGCCTTACGCTGAGCCTCAGTCTCATCCCGAGGGGGACGGGAGCGCCGATCGCCACCACCACCACATACAGCACCGCTCTGTAGGTGTTCGACGATGTATTCGCGGCCACGGGTTGCCAGCAAATGAGCGTACATTACGGGCGCCGGTATGCTGATCGGCGTATCGCACCTGGCGTACAGGTAGCACAGGTAGTACGAGAGCTTCTGGAGCTCATCGGCGCTAAAGCGGTAGTCGTCGTGCAGTACGTAGTAATGCGAGGGACGGGACGTACCCTATAGTCATCGGGAAAGGGAACAGTATATTACAAATCTGAATAATTAAATACTACACCAACGCCTACCTGAATGCCCACATGAGAGCACAGGTAGAAGTCAAAGTCGGTCGGGTGCACGACGTGACTGTCCACTACAGTGCCGGGCGGTATGTTATTCTTGGGGCCCATACCGCGCTACCAACAATTGTTTGTTGTTGTTTCAAACGTTGTGTTAATTATCTTTCTATGAGAACTATCTTGTAATAGTTCTTAATTTACAGACCTCTGCCGGCCTACCAGTGCCTTAAGATAGTTGTCTAGTCGGGAGAATATATTACAGCAAAAACAATATTTTAGTTAAAATTTAATTTAGATATATATTATCGGGTAAATGTTATTTTTAGAATAAACATTTGATTGAGCAAACTTTTTAGAATCACCACTAGTATAGTATAACACAGGGACAGAGATAGGCCACACAATTTTGCCGTTGTAAATATGGCAACAATGGGTTAGAATACAAATATAAAAGGTATACTAAATACTAAGCAATTAAACAAATGGACACGGATTTTCAAACACACCCCCCGTTACCAAATGATAAAATCAAAGCGCCATTACTGATTATATGCAAAAATGATGTATTATTCGCTTTATAAATAAATTACTTATGATTTAACTGTTTTGTTATAAACCCGGCTATAAGCGCCACCCGGATATAAGCGCATACCTTTGCCTGCACCAACTTGGCGCTAATAAACGGGTCTGATTGTATATTGTTTAATGAGATATTACAGTAAAAGCTCCGAGTTATGTATGGCCTATTGTATGTGAAATCTGTACATAACTGGGAACTGTTCATAACAGAGAATGTGTTCAAAAAACTGTAAAGAAGAGAGCCCAAATATGGCAAACTGGCTCTTGGAATTTTATGTTTAAAAATTAATCAACCCTAAAATATTATCAAATCTTTTCAAAGTCAAATCAAAATTAACGTATGCATTAAATCGCAATATCAAATTTTGCTAAATTTTATGAAAATGCCAAAACATGCCTAAAATTTTAACCCCTATAAAATCTTTAATAAATCTAATTTTGAGAAAATTCTTTTTGATAAATTAAAAGCATAGTTAGTAACATAAGTTATACGGTTGCAAGTAATACATTTCAATTAATTCCAACTTTTTTTGACCACAACATAAAATCCTATTCAATAGATCTGTTTGCCTAACCTCTATTACAAATTAATTTATATTGTTTTGTGTTTAAATGAAAGTTCAATTCTTCCTAGATCATATTCATACCACTCTTGACTTTACGCATGACCTGACATTAACATTTCCATTTGCTCAATTTTTGGACATTTCTTGACAAAGTTCTTTAAAATATTTTTGTCATACTTTCATAATATTAGTCTATTATATCTTATTCACTATATTGTCAATGTTTATAAACCTTAAATCTTTAAAATTACTTTTTATTAATATATTTTACTCGTTCATAAATTATGAAAACATAACTAAATAGTCTAAATCCTAATTAAACATAAAAAGAATTGTTACAATTATAACCGGGACCCGGAGCTGTTCCCCGATCCGGATCACTTCAAACCGGAGAGGTTTGTGGAGCCCACACACCATCCCTATGCGTTTGTGCCGTTTGGTGGCGGACCCCGACTTTGTGTTGGTATGAGGTT